AGTCATGAACTTTTACCCATATAGCATCCTGGTGTAGGTATGGTGGCATCCCATGATGATAAGATGAGGAAATAGAGGCCAAACACTCCTATTTATGTCAGTGACCCTAATATTCTGTCAAGAACTAAACCTGAAACAGCTACTTCCTTCCTCTCCATCATCACTGAGTTCAGTTAGACTTTCCTTCCCAAAGCATCTGTCTCATCCCTCCTATTTATTCCTCTGCCATTCATTATTCCACTCCATGCATTCATTACTAAAAAGATATTATTAAGCACCTATATGTGCCAGGCACAGAGGACATATACTGAGCAAAATGGACATGGTCTCAGACCTCGCAGAGTTTATAGTTCAAAAAAAAATCCCAGCCTCCAAAACTCATCAGAACAATGCAATTGCCTCCTAACTGGCATCCTTGTATTTAGTTTCTGTTCTCTCCAAACCATTCTGAATCTGTTGCCAGACTGGTCAAACAAAAACTGACAATGATTTCTATCTAGAAGAGTTCCCTCTCAGCCTCAGAGCCAGCTGTCTTACATACGCCCCTATGGACAATTGCAACCTCCCTTCCCTTTCTTCCTACTAGAAACCCCCTGTTCCAGCCAGGGTTGGATACTTAACTCTCCCATGTCAGCACTTCTATCCACTCTATTCCCCCATTTCTGACCATCTTCTCTTAAGAGTTCTCAAGAGCCACTTTCTGCCCTAAATCCTTACTCAGGTTCTCTCCATTGGGTAGGAATAGGGACATCCTAATTTCTTTTGATTATTCTTTTTATACTTCCTGAGTCTAAAATATGCTAGGCTCTGGGTGAGCAAAACATAGTAACTGCTCTCCATAAATCTAGTAGGGAAGACAGATTAATCAAAAATAAATAAATAAATAAATAAATAAATAAATGAGTTTATTATTTATTTCATTTTTGTTATTTTATTATTGATTTATATAATTATTTTATTAGCTCTTAATCAAAAAATGAATGACTCCCAAACCAGATGACATTCTATGAAGAAAGTACAGGGAACTGTGAAGAAATTTAATAAGTGAAATAAGATTTAGTTAGAGGTAGTATTGGGCAAGAAAAGCCTTCTTCCTTGAAGAACCGACTTCAAGAACTAAGATTTAGAGCAGCACTATCAAACGGAACTTTCTGCAATAATGGAAATGTTCTGTATGTGTACCGTCCAATACAGTAGCCACCAAGCCCATGTGGCTACTAAGTGCTTGAAATGTAGCTAGTGCAAAAGAGGAAGTAAATATTTAATTGTATTTAATTTTAACTTATTTAAACAGCCACATGTGGCTAGCAACTACTGTATTGGATAGTGCGGATCTAAGGATGAACAGGAATTAAATATGCTGGTGGAAGGCAGGAAGAGTGAGCAGGCAGAAGGAAGAAATCTGTGTAAAAGCTCTGAGGCTAGAGGGAGCACTGTATGTCTGAGGACATGACAGAAGGAAGGTGTGGCTGGAACGCAGAGAGCCAGGAGAAGCATCCTGAGATGAGCCAGAAGAGCAAGTTGGGACCAGACTATGTAGGGCCCTGAAGGCCATGTTAAGGATTTTGAGTTCTACCCAAACATAGGCACGGCACACCTCATTTTATTATGCTTTACTTTATTGAACTCTGCAGAAACTGCATTTCTTACAAATTGAAGGTCTGTGGCAACCAGAGTGAGCAAGTCTATCGGAGCCATTTTTCAAACAGCGTGTGCTCACTTCATTAGCATTTTTTACTTAGCAATAAAGTATTTTTTTTAATTAAGGTACATACATTGTCTTTTAGACATAATGCTATCGCACACTTAATAGACTACAGTGTAGTGTAAATGAAACTTTTTTATGCATGAGGAAACCAAAACAATTCACGTGACTTGCAGTATTGCAATATTAGCTTTACTGCAGTGGTCTGGAACCAAACCCACAATATCTCTGAGGCATGCCTGCAGTAGTGTAATACTATTGAGAGGTTGTAAGCAAAAGAGTGCCATGATCAGATTGGCATTAAAGGAAAAGAAATCCATTCCAGCTGCAAGAAGGATAATAGATCAGAAAAGAGAACAGCAAATACAAGGACATCAGTTAGGCTCTTAGAAAAAAAGACTAGACCGCAGTATAGTGTAAATGAATCTAGGCAAGAGATAAAGGTATATGGTGCTGCAGAAGGAGAGAATATATAGATTTGACCCATCTGAGTTCAGGCTTATCACATACTACCTGGATAACCTTGGGAAAGTCACTTAACTCTCTGGCTCCTAGCTTTTCAGTTGCAAGGTAGGGGTGATAACAACCCCTTAAGAAACCCGTAATTGAGTGTATTACGAGAAATTCTAGAGAAATATAGGTAAATAAGATACTACCCCTCCCCAGGGGCACACATTGCCAGTTAAGCAGACAACCAGGTAAAGGCCCTTGTAATCCAGTATGGTCACACAACAAACAGGGTAAGCTCATGGTGCCCCACATAGCTCCAAAGCTAAAACACGTCTAGCTGCTTCATACAATTTCCAGGCAGGGCCACACGAAGGAAGATACAGCTGGAGAGAGAGGCAAGGGGCCAAGCCTGAGGGCAGCGGTGGTGGCAAGGGCATGTCCCAGCCTTTCCTCTTACTCGGTGTGAGACCTTGAGCTGGTTACTAAAACCCTGCAACGCTCTTTTTTTTTTTCCATCTTTAAAACAGAGAATATTAAAAACGACCTCAAAAGGTTGTTGTTGGGAGGACAAGATGAAGTGATGGGTATAAACTACTCAGCGTAGTACCTGGAACATAATTAGTGCCCAAGAACTACTAGCTACAGCTATCATCATCATCAGATTACTGTTATTATTATTGCTATTATTGACTTAGGGGAAAATCACCTCGGGCAACATGAACAACTTAGGGAAAAGGAACTAGTACAAATGCTCTCAAGCTCTCCACTTCCTGGAGTCCATGAGAAAGAAAGGACAGGCCAGGATATATTTTATGCCGCTCTTTGCTCTAGACCAGTGCTTCTCAAAGTCTTACATAGAAAGAGCCCTAACTAGAAGGGGAGTGAATATTCCTAAGAAGTACCTCCCCTGTGGACTTTGACTTTTCAGTATTTTATCTTAGAAATTGATTCTCTACCATGATCTACTCATTCATGGTATCATTAGCACCACCATAGGAAACACAGTGCATATACATTTCCAGCCAATGTTATGACGTTATATATACATTGACTCATTTAATTCTCACAGCAATCCTATGGAAGTAGGTACTATTACTATTCCCATTCTACAGATAAGGAAACTGAGGCAAGAAACATTAAGTAACTTGTCCAAGATCCCCAACTAATAAACGTCAGAATTGGGATGTCATCCAGGTAGGCTGGCTCTAGAACCTGTGCTCTATGGTAGTGAGCTACCTCTCTAAAACAAAAATGCTTCCCTTCTTAAACATCACACCAGCAATAATGTTCCAAGTAGACACATCATGCTTACCCTGTGGCTTCTGATACACAGCCATATATCCATACTCCAAGTGAGGAGAATGGCCTAAGACCCAGCTGCTTTACTCAGAGTAAAGCTACAGTGATATAGCTTTGCTATAGTGAGACAGCGACGCTAAGGACAAATGCCCACAGCACTTATGCAGCTAACGGGGCTCAAACAGATGACGAGTGGGCCGCCACTGGGAGATGATTAAAAATCTACCATTAAACCAAGTTGTACTTAGAGTAGACCTTTTTTAAAGTAGCTTTTCATCAGGGGATTATATTTTCTTCTTGACGGTTTTCTTAATGGCAAGCAAGGCTATATGTTAAAGGAACAAAGGAGACTCAAAAGGCAAAGAGTAGAAGATTCTCACCAGGGTGGGGCTAAAAGGGGAGAGGGAAGAGGAAAATTAAACAAGCAGAAGAGAAGATGCCTCTTTTACTCCAGCATAATGCCGCGGTGCTGCCCACCCCCACTCCTCTTCCCTCTGCCTTCTTCTCCGGGGGCACTAACAGCAGCCAAGAGCTCATTAAAGTTTAAACAGACTGATCAATAGGGACAGAATGGTGAATTGTCCATCTGCAAATTACCAAGCACCTCATGAATATTTAAGGAACTAAACTAGGAACAGGGAAAAGAAGGAATCCAGGATTTTATATGTCCCTCTGGATAAAAGCACAAAAGGATCTCGGCCATTCCTGGCCACCAGGACATAAAATCAAACAGTCAAGTGGAACTTTAAAAATGAACAAGTGTCGCCCAGCATCGCTTCCTGTCACAAGCCAGCAGGCTGAATCCAACCCAAGGTCACTCAAGATGAACACCTGCCTGGCACGCATCGGAGACGCTCTGGTCTGACCCAACTTCCTCGCTTTCTCAGAACACACACTGTTTTCTTGCCAGCATGCCTCTGTACATGCCGTTCCCTCTGCCCAAAGTGCAGTTCCCCTAACGTGTCCACTGGAGAAGCAGGAGAGTCCACTGACTAGGAGTGTAGCTGTGGAGTCAGACTGCTTAGGTTCCTGTCCTGCCTCTGCTACCTCCCAACCCTATGATCTTGGCTAAGTCACCTAACCTTTCGGGCCTCCATTTCTTCCACAATAAAACAGGGGTAGTAACGGTACTACCCTTACAGAGTCACATGAGGATTCGACTACATAGTGCAAGTTAACACATCTTGCACAGCATTTGGCATACAATAAAAACGCAGTACGTGTTAGCTATGATTATTGGTGATTTTTTCCCACGTTTGGTCATACCTCAAGCTTCCACATCTGCCACGGCTTCCCTAAGCCCCCTCGGGTTAGCTCTGTCCCCAGCTCCAGCCGTAACCACTTTGCTTCCAGCTCTTATCACACCGTATTTCAGCTGTTTATCAGTCTCTGCCACTACACGGTGAACTCCTGTAAGGCAAGGCCTATGTCTTGCTCACCTCTGCATCCAAAATGACCCCAAGATGGTCTGTGGCACCGGGGGACACACAACAAACACTTGACAGGTGAGAACATACTCAAGGAGAAGACCCAGTTGTGCCCATACCTTTGTGACAGCACAGCACGCGGCCCAGATGTCCTCGGAGGACTGCTCGTGGTGGTTGAACTGGGGCTCCCACTTCTTAATTGGCTGGTCTGCGAAAGCCAGAAGGACCCCGCTCTGGTCCACCAGAGCCGCACGGACACTACCTGTCCCAACGTCCACGCCCACATAGTACCTCCCTGGTTTCTGTTCACCAGACATTACAGTCCCTCCACCTGTGGCGAGAAAGCACAAAACCATGTGAAGACCAAGTGGATCTGCAAAGACAGTCACAAAGCATCTTGAAAGTAGAAAGAGAAAAGGTAGAAAGAGAGAAAAAGAGAAAAAGTAGAAAGGTAGCTGCACTACCTAACTGTGCAGCCATTTATTATTTATTCACCCAACAAAATTTTCTAGTGTTAACAGTATACTGATAGGCGCTGAGCTAGGTGATGGGTGAACAAGACAGATAAGGCCTCAGACATGCAGTTTCCATTCTTGGAAGGGAGTCAGATATTAAGCATTTAATTGCCTAGTTATTTATGCAAAACAGTGATGAGCGCTATAGGGCAAGCACAGGGTAATAGGAGAATTTGGAATCTGGGGGCAGGAGAGATGGACTGATTCTCTGTGAATTTGAATCAACAAGGACAGGAGCCATGGTACAGAAAAGAATCCTTGTTTCATTCAACAGATTATCTGCTGAGTGCCTATTACGTGCAAGCACCATGAAAAGTGCATATATTCCCTCTACTCCTCGCTACAACTCTAGAAGGTGAGGATATTTAAATCTCTATTTCATAGTTGGTCAAGGTAAGACTCTAAAAGATAAGTAACATTTTGCTTAATGCTAGGTCTACACACTCATGAGGAGGAAATGTGCATTATTATAATGATGTATATTACACTGATGAAGAAATAGGTCTCTGAAAAAGTTAAGGAATTTACCCAACCTCACTGAGGAACAGCCTGGACCTAAAGTCCCATGTCTGTGCAGTCATGCTCTTTCCTTTCTTTCCTAAAAGCCTGCATTAATATAATAGGTTTGGAGAAGAGGCAAATATATTGCAGCTGTGTCATGAAGTGATGGGAATTGGCGAGGCACCCTGAGGGAGACACAATCAGGAATCAGTTAGACAACCTGTTTTCCTTACAGAACCCTGGTGAGTTACAAGGAAATCTGACCAGAGAACACTCAGGAATTCCTTGGCCTTCATGGCTGCTCTAATTCCCTTTGGTCAGATTAGCCCACATGACACAGAATCTCACAGAGGCTTTTATTTTCCAGATTGGCCTTTCAAAGAACAAGAACAAGCCCTTAGGACAATTCAGCTGGTGAACACACAACAACTCCCCAGGTGAGCTCAGGGCAGCCTTAGCGCCCAGAGTCTAATTTCAACCTGAGCGGCGTTCTGCACCCTTCAACTTCAGAAATATAATGTTTCCTTGGCCAAGTCACACTAGGAGATTCTAAAACAAAATCAGCCGGCAGATGTTTGGTAACTGCTTCCTGGATATTTATCCCAGCAAAGGGAAAAAAACAAACAAACAAAAAAAAAACCTCATTCAAAGTGATTGCTTCTGACTTAATTACAAGGGTTTCCCAACTGTGTGTGTCCCCCTCTTGGCTTTGTGGCTCACTGGCAGGTGAAGAAGAAAATGGGGAAGTTATAGAAATAATATTTACTACTGTTATCCGAGCTTCAGAAAACCACTGCCAGGCCACAGCAGCCAGTGTGCATTCTCATCTTCTCCTCCTTGCTCACACCCCTGTAGGGGCAGCAGATGACCACTAGCACCAATCCTCAAATCATTCATTCCTTCATTCATTCAACAGTGATAGCTTTTCTTCAAGCCATTACTTGAAGAAAATTTAAATAAAGCAGATAAAAGCAGAGCTGCTCTTGTTTGAAACAACGATCATCCCTGCTTCACCCTCCAGCCCTTCCTCCAGCAGTCCCTCTGCTGGGCCCTTTCCTGGGACAACCGAAACCACCAGCTGCAGGCTGTGATACACCCTAAGGCTGTGGTCCCCACCCCGTGGGCCATGGACTGGCCTGTTAGGAGCTGGGCCCCCACGGCAGGAGCTGAGCAGTGGGTGAGTGACCAAAGCTTCATCTGTATTTACGGCTGCTCCCCATCACTCGCATCACCGCCGGAGCTCCGCCTCCTGTCAGATCAGTGGCATTGGATTCTCATAGGAGCACGAACCTTACTGTAGACTGCACATGCAAGGGATCTAGGCTGCACTCCCCTTCTGAGAATCCCATGCCTGATGATCTGAGGTGGAGCAGTGATGCTAGCACTGGGGAGTGGCTGCAAGTACAGATTGTCATTAGCAGAGAGACTTGATTATACAATAAACGTAATGCACTTGAATCATCCCAAAACCATCCCCGCTACACCCCAATCTGTGGAAAAATTGTCTTCCATGAAACCAGTCCCTGGTGCCAAAAAGGTTGAGAACCGCTGCCCTAAGCATGGTATCTCAGGCCTTCCATGACCCTTCTGCCTGCTGTCCACACCTGCCTAACACAGTCCTTCCCATTCTCACTCCAAGCTTCAGACATCCTCCCAAACTCCTCTCAGGCTCTCAAAGAACCCATACTGCTACAGCCCCCCCCCCATCACATACTTGTCCCTTCCTAATTCCTTCCTCTCATCCACCTGGGAACCATGTACTTACATTTTAAGGTGTAGCTCAGCCACGACCTTTTTGGGGAAGACTTTCTTGCCTTTCTCCATCTCTCGAACACAAAGGATGCCAACACAGCATCCTGACCCTACTTTCTTTTAAAACTTGCCTCTCTGGATGGAAACTTTGTTGTTCCCGTGTGTGTCCCTCTTACTGGCCTGCACCTGAGAAAAGGAACTCACTGGTTTCTGCATCTCCAGCTCCTAGCACAGTGCCTGGCATATAGTTAGTTTTCAATGAAAGTTTACTGAATGAACTGAATCCATGAATTAACAGAAAACAAGGATAAACAGATTCGTGCCTCCATAGTTTGTATTCCTAAGTTTGCACTTATAGTCACTAGTGTTTATTCTAATATCTTATGTCTCATTCATCGAATTAACAGATATTTATCAAAAGTTTACAACCACATTTTATTAATTCTAGGGCATTCATTTGTCTCACACTTAGCTTCTCTGAATTCAGGGTGAATTTTACAATTTAATTGATGGCAACTTACAGCTAATTGGTAGCTTTTTCTTTCTTTCTTAGTGCTATATGAAATAATGATGCATCTTGCAACCAGTGACATCTGAGACTCAAGGAAACACAAATTGTTATAGGCACCAGGCCCCCTGCTAAAGATACAATGACTGAAAAAACAGGGACAATGCCTTGGCACAGAGCTGCCTCAGCTTCTTTATTTGCAAGTAAGAGGCAGACTGAGCAAGCCAACTGCTCCACCTTCCCTCTACCAACCACACACATCTTCTTACTTCCCTTGGGATTCCCTCTTGACTTCCCACTGTCTTCACTGTGAAGGCCCCCAGGGGTGCTGTTCCTTAACACTGGTCCTAGCACGTCAATAGCACTTTGCTCTTGGCTGGAACTTTGCAAGACTATTCTAAACACATAGGGAGGAACAAAGAAATAAGTAGGAAATGAAGGACTGGTGCAAACATTCTGGCTTACACAGACCTGGCCAGCGAGCATCCAGGCTTGTCTCCACACCCACCAGCCCCAATGATAAGAGAGAGTCCCACGGGGCTGGCCCAGACCCTGATGTTTGGGTTGCTTCATTTTCGACTCCCTTTCTTCCTTGGTAGGGAGTGCATCATATTGTCACCCACTCCCCAGACATCCTGATTCCTTTCCAGTAAAATCCAAATAGGCAGATTTCCACTCTACAGCTCCCCGTGGGTGTGTTCCAGGTCTGGTTTCTGGACCCAGGAAAGAGCCCACCCTTCAGAAGAGGCCCCATCTCACAGGGAGAATGGAGCTTTATGATTAGATAATTAACTCCAACTGCTGCCTGTGTCACTGCTGTATGCCCAGTGCCTGGCACATAGCAGCAACTCAGTAAGTCCTTGTGACTGTGTGAATGAATGGCTATCTTTAAAACCCATCATTGGGGAAATAACAAAAGGTACTCTGTCTACTGTGTATCTGATACTCTGCTAAGCGGCTTGCTATAACGCCACTTTCAATCCTGACCACAATTCTTGAAGACAATAACTATTATTATTTCCATTTTACTGAGGAGGAAGGTGAGTCCTAGACTGGCAAAGTAACTTGCTCCAGTATGTCATACATAAGCAATACAGTTGACAGCAATCCATCCCCTCTGGTACCAAAGTCCCTAAACTTTCTCAGGATGCTCTGCTGCCCCCAGATATTGTTCCATTTATTAAATGCCTATTTGTCAGGGGCTCTGCTAGGGGCCCATGCCTACGGTGCCTAAAGTCAGCTAACTCAGAACCCAGGCTGTTCATCTTCAGAGACTGACCCTTCCGCAATGCCGGGCAGCCACTCTCCAGCAAACCATCTGGTTTGCATAATCAATGCATCATTCTATAATACATAATCAATGCATCATTCAGTAAGAGTCAAACCTATAGGAACAAGGGAGTCAAACCCTCCCAGCATCGTTCACAAAGTCCTCCCAGTTCGTGATTTTCTGTGGAACAGATCCTACTCAAATATTTCAGGTTCACCATTTTCCCCATTATTATAGTTTTAAGTGATCTCTTTGTGCTTGTTTCCACACCTGGAACCTGAAAGCAGGGAAGTTCAAGCCCTCGGGCAGCTTCCCAAAAACTCAACCCATGACTTATGAAAGCTCTACGGGGAATTTTCTGCAACACAGATCCCCTGCTCTTTCCCCACTGTGCCCTGTGCTCCTGGGTCATAAATACAAACCACTGTCACCTGGACTCTAAACCCTAATCAACTAGTATCTCTTAGCCTCAAAAAATAAAGTAACTGCAAAATTGAAAACGTTATTCCATTTTCTAGTTTTGTTTTGTTTAAAGGATCAGGATCCTCCTTGGGTCAATCATTTCCACATTTATGGAAACCCAATCAGGCTGATAAACCTATCACCATTTTACACCTCAGCAGGGTAGCGGTAATTTGCCTGAAGTCACACAAACAGTAAATGGCAGCATCAGGATTTGAACCCTAGCCTCTTATGGCAAGTTGAGGGCTCTTTCCACAACACCAAGCTAAAATGGAAAACCAAATCCTTTGATAACTTCTTCAATAACAACAGCAACAACAATGTGGTGGGAATATTTATTGAGCTCTGCTCTGCAGAGGCAGGCGGCATGAGCCCCGCTTCCCAGTTTAGGAAATTGACATTCTCAGAGATGACACAGCACAGAAGCAGGGGGCCGGGATTCAAGGATACGTCAGTGTGACTCCAAAGTCTCCGTTACAAATGGTCAGAGTCAGAACTGCGGTTTCATTTCATTCTTTTTAGGCAAAGGTGAATGCTCTGAAAACAGCTGTTAGGAATATGGGGAGGGTGGTCAGGCACAGAGAAATAAGGACATGGACCGTAGACAGCCAAGAGAAAGAAAAATAACAGAGAAAGTCAAGCTGTGCTGCATGCAAATCCTGAGACATACCTAACTTCTCAGCCCACGAGACGTTTCAAAGGGCAGAAACAGCCTCCGTCCAAGTCCCCAGCATGGACTGGACTGACTTTTAGCCCCTATTTATGATCAAAAGACTGCTCTGTATGATAAATATTTATACAGTTCATTAAATAATAGCCTGTATAAATATTATGAGAAATGTGCCACAGGAAACCACAGACTTTGCGGCTGATTCTTCAACAAATGTGCAAGCTGCTCAAATGCAGCGTGAAGAAAGGAAAAGGGGACCTAGGGGTTGGAGGCTATTCTTTGCAAAAGGACTTAAGTAATCCTAAAAAAGGGGGTATGTGCTACAAATATCGACCACATGGGGATTGTTCTCTCATTGTTTCCTATGCCTGCAAGCCTCCAGAGTGGAGGAGCTTACCTTATGTCCTATTTCTTAAGGAGCCGCTCCTCCAGGAGATTTGGTGACAGTCCACAGACACAGTATTCCAGCGACCTGGGAAGGAATTCAATATCCTCTTTCAACTTTGATCTCTGGACTTTGCTGGGAGCTCGTGTACACGCCCCACATAATTTATTTAATTAGTTATACTGCAGTCAGGGATGTAGTAAGATTGGGAAGTAAAAGATGAGCAATGGCTTAAGCTTGTCCACTTCAGCCTTCTTAACAGAAAGGATTGAATACCACTTTCAACAAGTCTCACATGCTCTAAGATGGTGAGAAAATTTGGAATGGGAAGGAAAGAGCTAATATGGCAATAGTAGTTGGTTCTCTGTAAGCTATACCAACAACACACGAAGGAGGAAAAGAACAGCTTGCTAACAGGCACGTTTCCTCTTAAAGTAAAAAGCTGTCTCCAATAACCCCTTCCCCAGTTCTTTTTCAGGCTTTTGGGTCAAGGGGAAACATTTCTAAAAGTTTTCAGGTTGCTAATACTGATTCAAAAGAAGCCCGAACACTTTCTGGGTTCCCCAAACTTTTGGAGCCTGTAGCAAATGCACAATACATCTTTCACCCAGACACACCCGCGGCCTGGTGTAGATGGTGCAAGGGAGTAACAACCTATTTCCAGTCAAGTCTGGGGTGACCAGCACGTTCTGTGGGATCAGAGAGAAAGGAGGGAGTAAGCAGTGAAGCTATACCCTGAAAGCTACTGAGTAGCTGAACCATGTTCCTATCTCAGCAAGCTCCCAGAAGGCTCGGACAATCTTTCATTCACCACTGATGTCTAACATGAATGCCTAACAAAGGACCTGGCCTGCTGCAGATCAAGAACAAGGTCAAAAGCATCAGAGGAGGAGGAGAAGGAGAAGAGGGGGAAGGAAATGTAAAATGCTGAGGGGAGAGGATAAGGGGGTAAGTGGGGGGAGGGAAAGGGAGGGAGGGAGGAAACTGAATCGGCAGGAATAGGAGGGTTGGGGGATTCAGAAGATAAGAAACTAAGAGCCCACCCCACCACTGATGGGAGGAAGGCAGAAGAAAGAAAGAAGCAAACATATGCCTTGGCCAACAAAAAAACACCCACCAGATTCTTCCTGCACAGGAAAAGTCCATAATATATAGAAGGAACAGAAAATGAAATGTCAGTTCTGAGACCCAGATGTAAATCCAAATATCAAACAAAAACAAAACACAAACCAACAAGATCTTTTCTCTACTCTGAGAGTCACCCACTCATACCTGGAGTGCTTGCTGTCACCCAACAGGGCAGACCTCAGCCCCCAGCACCCAGGAGTTCACATGTGGGACCCATGACACACAGGTTCCTCAAGCCAGCTAACAGGCTGTGAAGAAACCCCAGACATCCAAGAACATGAGAAAACACCATGGCACACATGGTCTCTGAGCCCAGACATTCTCAAAAGAAGCTCAGAGTACAACAATCCCCTGCACAGCAAGGCAGGGCTGCCTCTCCACAGCAGGGGACAGGGGGCTGGGCCTATCTACCTCTGCATCTCCAACGCATACACCCCAAAATAAGCTTGGTACATAGCAGGTACTCAATGCTGATGAATGAATGAACAAAAAGTCACTCCATTTGGGAGAAATGAAGGCAATTCTCCCTATCTCACTGAACACTAAATATTCAGCAGCCACAGGGTAGGGAGTCAGGTGTGAAGGTTAGCAATTGGGAAATCTGGATTAGCAATTGGGAAATCTGGGACTTGTCCTGTATGTGTCTATCACTGATTGACTTTGGACAAGTCCCTTCACTGATGACTCTCTTCCTAAGTATAAAAGGAGATTTGTGAATTCAGTATAACTACTCCAAGGGGTTGCTGTGAAGATTAAAGCTAATGACGGCACAGAAAGGCTTTCAAAAGGGTAATTCCTTTATGAACAGAAGGAATTAATGGTACTGGCACCATAGGAAAATTTGAATGTAAAATAAATACTACACAGCCTCCACTGTTGCTATGGTCTGAATGGTTGTGCCGCTCCCCAAAATTCATGTGTTGAAACCTAAGCCCTAAGGTGACAGTATTAAGAGGTGGGGACTTTGAGAGAAGATTGGGTCATGAGGGAGGAGTCTCCATGAATGGGATCAGAGGCCCTTGTCCCTTCCTCCACGTGAGGACACAGCAAGAAGTCAGTAATCTGCAGCCCAGAAGACAGCTCTTACCTGATACCAGATCTGCTTGCTGGAGCCTTGATTTTAGACTTCCCAGCCTCTAGAATTGTGAGAAATACCTTTCTGTTGCAAGTAAGCCAACTAAGTTTATGGTATTTTGTTATAGCAGCCTAAGATTAATATAAAGATCTGAATTTTGAAAACCAAATAGTGATGCCTCAAATTATTCCTCGTTTCTGTACTTCAAACAAAACCTAATGTACCTAGCAAAACTGCATATGGCAGGAAAGTAGCTTCATGTGGCCACCAGAATCCTGGCCATCCATACTTCAGGGACCAGGCACCCTACCCCAACTCCACCCTTCTCCACAGAACGAAGTTAGTTGGTTAATGGAGGTACCCGTTTACTGCTTTCATTACTGTTCCAATAGTTCTCATCCACTAGATCACAAACTCAGTATTTTTCAGGTTCTATACTGAGCCCATTTTTAAAGGCAAATAAGAAGTGACTGGACAAGGGGCATGGTATTAAATCAGTAAGACAGTAGAAAAGTTGGCTATCTTTTTAAATTCAAAAAAAAAAAAAAAAAAAACAGTCAAAACCCACCAAATCCCAAGCCTACCTCACAATGTGGCCAGATCCAAACTGAGGCAGTCCTGAATGGTGACCCAAAACCACCACCTTCTGAAAGGCACACAGGCAATGGCACAACAGCAGTTGCAAAGAAAATATAAAATCCAACCACAGTGGAAGCAAAATGCAAGGTATAGGCCCTAAAGAACACGTGGATGAAAAATGTGACTCATCAAATGATATCCCCAAACTCCACCAACAAATATTCCTGAAAGAAATTAAACTTTACACCTGCCATGTCTTTTTCCATAAACCCAGTTCACTCTTTCGTCTCTCTTTTGTCCAACCCTTGTGTTCTAATAGCAACTCTTTGCTAGTTTATAATGTCTTCTTCTGCTGCCCCGCCAAGCCATTCCCTATGCAGAGAAAGGGAGAGGGGAACCTACGTTTACAACACCTACCACAAGGCATGTGCTGTTTCTCCCATTCACACATGAGGATGCAGAAATGCTGAAAGGGTCCACATCCTGCAGAGTGTCACAAAGCCCACAGAGGGAAGAGGCCAAGTTGAAATTCAGGTTTGCCTCAGCAAGAGCTGAACTCTTCCCACCACCCCTGAAATGACTGGCTTCCCACACTAACCAAGCTGCCCTTGTCCTGGGCACACGCGGAATGAACTTTCACATCCCTTGAAATCTCAGATGACCCTTTGAAATGCCTTCTCCATGGTCTGATTAATAAAGTCTACCTCTGTCACAATCAACCCTACTGTAGGAAACATTAGCTATTAACTGAGAATGTTCTTCCCCTATTTCTTTGTACAGGTAAATGTAGCGCGATGCAGTATTATAACAGGGGAATTACTGGGTTGTGGGGAAGAAGAGGATTATGAATGTATAAAATGTTCAAATACCTTCTAAAATAAAAAGACCCCAGGGACTTTCTTCCTCTGGAGAGTTCTAGAAGCACTGCAAGCAAGCCTTCTGTGTGGTGTGTTGCTGAAGCACCAAGCTCCTCCCTGGGGCAGACTCCCCATGTCTGAAGGAACACGTGGGGGGGGGGGGTGATGTAGAGGAGTCCACCCAGGCAGGTAGATCCATAGTCAATCTTTTACAAACCAAAGCGACACCCTGAGTTCACTAAAAGCAGAAGTTTGGATTTGATGGTTTCTCCCCTAAAATGCCAATTACAAAGCTTAGCCCATAACAGGGAAAATTATTATATATGCAAACTTTAGTGATTTGTGCCTACATGGACTCCTTTCTAAAATGTGAATCCTTGACCTCTCTTTGAATTCTGAATAATTTAAACATATATGTAGTTTCTTCCCCACATTGCTTTCTTCTCCAAGAGGTTGTTGATTTGCTGACATAATTAACTATGAAGTGATTTTCTACAGAACTAACCAGACCTTCAAAGCAATGCCATTATCATTAGCATATTGGCCAAAATCCACAGCTTTTCCCAGAAAGTCACTCAAATTACCACAACAGAAGAACCCCTCAACCTTAATGACTGCTGTTGGACGTCAGCAAATTCAGGAAGAGCTCAGGGCAGTAAGTGGCAAAGCAAGAAAACCCATTCTCCATGTGATCACGCAAGGCTCCTTCGTTGCAGACAACGTCAAGCCTGAGGCTGGCTAAGGTCTTGGCCTGTTCTTATGTTTTGTGTAGGAAGCATGGACCGGTGGCTTGAAGGCCCAAGGTGAAAGGCCTAAAGAATGAGTTATCTCAAGATTAAATAGCAGACTTGGCCATTCCACAAACATAGCCCTGTCAAAATCACCATGGGCTAAAGTACAAGCTTAAGGACCACCAATGCTACTTCTGCCCCCCAAAATAAAGTCCAAACTCTTGACCTGACCTACAAGGACCTCTAGGCTCTGGCTGCTGCTGTCTTGCTAACCTTAGCTCCCACCTACCTCCCCACCTCATCCCATCACACTCTGACCCTACAAAACCACTAGCAACTCCCCAAAGGAAGGCTGGGTGCCCTGTCCACACTGTTCCATGTATTTGTAATGAAAGAATACAAACTTGTAGTGTACAGAAAAAGAAATACAAAAAATACACAGGAATTGTTCACCTCACACATAATACAGGAAATGTCAATCAAAATACTGAGATGATTTTATACCTAAAAAATTAGCAGGAGTTGAATATCAATAATACACACTTTAGGCAAGAGTGTGGAGAAGTAGGCAATTTCATACAATTTTCATGGTAGAGTAATTGGTTCAATTTTTTGTAGAATAATTTGAAACTGTCTATTTTTAAAATCTAGCCTTTTAGGCTGGACACAGTGGCTCACACCTGTAATCCTAGCACTCTAGGAGGCTGAGGTGGGAAG